TCTCCCTGGGTCCTCTCTCTTAATAAGTCAACATCCTGGATAACACCCAGCAAACAAACAGGGTGTCACTGAAAGGGGAAGAAGATACTGGCTGCCTAGGGACCTTGGGGCTTGAGACATGAAAAGGCGATTATTTGCCCAGGTTTCTAAGAAGCACGGACAAAATACACTCCAAACGAAAGATGCTCCCATAGCTGAAGGACCAGGAAAACGGTGGCCGAACAGTGGGAAAACTTGATGATGTCCACTTTGAATCAGTTAGGCACAAGGAAAGGAGACCCTAACCCTCTTCCCACCCCACCCACCAACAATTTCAGTGGGTTCAGGCAGGGAGCTGATGTGTGTTTCCCATAGCCCAAGGAAGTAGGTAGTATAAAATGGTAGCATCCATGTCTCTACCCAGTGACATGCAGGGAACTAATCTCTGTTCTTCCCATGGAAGCAGAGAATGCTCCAGATCTCACTTCAGGTAGTACCTTTTGCATACAGGTAGAGCCTGTTGTCAATGGAGCCTCTATATCTACCAATCAGGTGATGAAAAATGATGCTCACTCTCGTGTCAGCTGTGGGAATGAGGGCCAGGATGATCATCTCGAAGCTTTCCGTCACTGTGACAAAATGCCCAAGAAGCAGACTGTAAAATAGGAAGGGTTTATGTTGACTCAGTGTCAGAGGTTTTAGTTCACAGTCTCTTGGCTTCATTGTTTTGAGGCTGTGAGACACAACATCACAGTAGGGACCATGTAACAGAACACAACTGCTCACCTTGTGGGGACTGGGAGGCAGGGAGTGAGGGAGAAGGAACAGGGGGTAAGATATAGACCCCAAGTACATACTTTCAAGGATCCACTCCCTTCTCTCAGGTTCAACTTTATCTCCAATAGCCTACCAAATTTTGAATTTATCAATGAACTAATCTATTGACTAGTCCAGAGTTTTCATGATCCAGTCACTTCCAAAGCCCATCTGGTGGCAAACAAGCCCTTAGCACATGGTATCCAGTAGTATTTTCAGATTCAAACCACAGCTTGCACCCCTCCCTCTCAACCCCAAAGTGGTCGGGTGGGGAGCTGAGCACCAGCATCGCTTGCTCTCAAAAGAGGGAAATGATATGAGTAATACTCGGCTTTCTCCCTTCATCCGGACAGAGAGCTGAGTCCCTGTCCTCACCCAGCATCAATAAGAGGCATAATGAGGTGGTGGAGAATGTGACCAATTGGCACTCTGTCTCCTTGTTCCCAAGCCCAGGCGGTGTAAATTAGTGGTTCATTCTTGTTAGGACAATATTGAGGGAATAAATGGAAAGAGGAATGCACTTAAGCAGGGACCTTTGGAAACTCAGAATGAAACAGGAGTTCATTCTAATATCCAAATAGCCTGGATACAAGCAAGGCAAAAAAGAGCCTCACTTGTCACATGACAAGCCAGGAAAACATGAAGGAAATTCGAAAATCAGCAAATGCTAAATGAAAAGAATCGGACGCTGAAATTTCATGACAAGGGTTTAAAAGTAACCACCACACACACACAAAAAGCTTCTATGATAATAAGAAGGGAATTCCCTAAGAAGGGAATAAACAAGCTGGAAACTCAAATCACAAACACATTAGCATTTATAGTTTTCCAAAGGAAAATAAAATATCTTGATATAAACCTAGCAAAACATATATAAGATTTATATGTTCAAAATCATGTTTTCCCAGAAGATATCAAAGAAGACCTAAATGAATGTAAATGATAAAAATAGAAGACTTTTAGAAGGAAATAAATGACTAGGCATGTAGCTTGGTTGGCAGAGCGCTTGCCTGGTATGCCTGGAGCTCTAGACTTAACGCCCAGCGTGGCATGAGCTGGGCATGGTGGTGTGCACCTGTAATCTCAGAGCTCATGAGAGGCATGGAGGCAGGAGGGTCGGAGGTTCAAGGTCATCCTTAGCTTATATAATAAGTCAGAGGCTAACCTGAGCTACAAAACACTTGTCTCAACACAAAACAAAACAGAAAGTGGAAAAATTCATGAGACCTATAACAAAGGAAGAAGTCATAGACTTGGCATCAAAAGCGTAATTCATAAAAGAAGAACCGATAAAAACAGAACTATGTTCGCCCCACCTGTTGCTTGTCTCTGATTGATTTCTAGGGGTGGAAAGTGCTTTCTGCTCCCGGGTTTCCAGAAATTTCTCTGTTTCAGTTAGGACCATCAAAGTAGGATGTAGTGCAGAGGGAAGCATCTGCCTCACAACTGCCGGCTTCTCGGTGGGTCCCTTCCTTCTCAGGGAAGGCTGCTCCAGTCAGCGCTGTCTGCCAACACCATCTTCACTGTCCTAGCTAGGGATTGCCTCTGGAAACCATGCAGCTTGGAGACTCTGGGCACACAGCAAGGCATGCTGCGGGTGTCTTTCTGGGGTGTGACCGATGGCAAGCTGGCAGGCTGACCCCTCCCCAGCATCTGCACTGTCAGAAGTTTCATAATTCTGTTATCAACCACAGCATTTTCAGCTCACTTACTTGAAGACGAAACTCCCAATTCTACCATGTTGGGTGACTGTCCCATAGCACAGATAGGCTTTAGCATTGCTGCAGCCTTTTCAAGTGTCCCTTTTGAGAAAAATAGCTGGCTTTCTGACTCTTCCATTATTTTCTAGGGCAGAGGTTTTAGGCTCTTAATGAAATTTAATTACACCCTCCACCAAATCCAATTATGACCTGAATCCATGAAATCCCATTAGAACTTCCTTTTGCCTCATTAGGTATACACCAAGACAGATCCCTGCCTAATCCACCCTGGCAGATTTCCTAAATAATGGCATCCAGAGACTTTGCATATATTGTTTATTACACTGAAGTGAAAATATGCAAAACATGCAAATGAACCACAGGGAACTTGCTTAAAGACCAAGTGGGGGCATTCTGTTCCTACCTGGCTGGAGGGACTTCTGTTCTAGACACTCTGCTTAGGAGCTCTGATAGAGTATTGTCTGTTCATAGGAAGATGCCTTCCGTGACCCCGTGAGTCCTGTGATCCACAAGAAGAAACATTTTTTCCCAGCAAGTGAGAGGTAGCTTGCTGTAGCCCTGGGCTGCTGTGGGCAGCCATGAGCACAAAATTTCCCTTTTGTGTTTTTGTTAAAATACTAGATTTTAGGGCTGGAGAGATGGCTCAGCAGTTAAGAATACTGGCTGTTCTTCTAGAGGACCTGAGTTCAATTCCCAGCACCCACATGGCAGCTCACAACTGTCTTTAACTCCAGTCTCAAGTTACTAGACACCCTCATGCATGCAAAATACCAATGCACATTAAAAAAAATAAATACTAGGTTTTAGATTCATTCAGGACAGGGACTGGGCCAGGCTTTTCTTGCGCAGACTGGAGCAGCAACATTTTTTCCCTGGCCAAAGTGACCCATGCTGTAAATGGCAAGGTTTCATTTCTTCTATAGCTGAACAATATCCCATTGCATACATAAACCTAGTTTTCTTTGTCTGCTTGTATACTGATGGGCACAGAGGTTGATCGCATGTTTAGCTGTTATGAATGATGATGCCGTCAATACTGGCACCCAGGTGTTTCTTTGGCATGCTAATTTCATTATTGGATAGATACTCAGAAGAGGGATAGTTAGATCAAATGGCATTCTGCTTTTGGCTTTTTGAAAGGCTGTTATGGTCGCCATAATGACTGTGTGAAAATGGTTTTTTTTCTCCACCCCACCCCCACATGCATTTTTTCTGTTTTGTTTTACTATTAGCTACTCTGGATGGTGAACTAATAGCTCACTATAGTTTGATCTGTCTATCCCTATGACTAATCATATTGAGTGGTTTCTATGTATTTGTTGGCC